TTTTGTTATATAATTATCGTCATTACTTGGATTACTAACATAATTAATAAAGTTTTGTTTACCATTTGAACCGACAGTTTCTAATTCTCGTCCGTTTTGTTTTGCGATTTATGTTCTCCGTAGATATTGGCTCAACGCATAAGTGGCTTTAAATCTGTTCACATCCAAAGTCGTTTTACTATTTCCATCTTTTAACCATTTCCTTGCCAAATATCTGGTTTAAAGCAACTGTCTTTACACACTACCTAAACCCAGATGCACTTAGAGCCTGCAGAAACCACTGCATATATATTGTGTTGCAACCAACATCACCAAACATTTTCCTAACCTTCTCTCAGCCGTTTTGTCGTGGTGACGATGGGTTATCCAAGTTTTACTTGAATACCAGAAATTTCGACGACACTGTGTGCGACGAGTAGATTGCTGAGGCATGTACTTTCACATTACCATTATTTTACCTCATTGGTGTAGCAACTACTTTTGTCGCCTATGGCGATAGTGAAAGTTTCCCCCTGAATAAGAGTAGAATCGGCGTGTGAAGTGCACATTAGTTTTCGAGGAAATGGTTGATGGTTTGGGTCACTGAGTTGAAAGTGGTGGGAACTTACCATGATGGGACACGTAAGTGGATTTCTGGGAAGAACGTGTGTGACAAGGTGTGTGGCAAGGTGCAAATGGTTTGGTAATCATACAGAGTAACCTTAAAGTACGCAACCCCCAGCTTATCCGGATATTTTGTCGTTCATAGTTGAGATTGTAAGATCGACAGTGCAAAAATGCCGTTTCCTGTCACCTGCCGCCAGGGGAAGACCGCCCATTCCCTCTCACTATGCTACGCCACTACCTCACCGGCCAGCAATACCATTAGGTATTTGTGAAGTTGATTGCTAGAGCTTCTTCCATAAATTGTGCTTTGGGGAACATATCAAGCTTTTAGGCTACAAACGAAGCCAAACAAGTAATATATTTACCTTTTTCGCCTTTAATTTGAGTACCACGTAATGCATTTGTCACAAATCAGTTAAAAATAGAAGAGTCAACAACTCAGCTTACTAGTCTATCCCGAAATATGTCTCGAGAACACATCACAAATATTTGCACACTTCGCAGTATCTGCGACCAGACTCCAACCGAGCTGCGGAGACGCAAGGCACAATTAGTTAGACGTTTGAGAAAATGCTGAGGGCAGTCGAAGTGTTTCGCCACGGTAGTTCATAAACATCAAAAGCGATGCACAACCTGGCCAAATAAGTACAGTAAATTTCCCCACACCGGCAGGGAGTATCTTGAATCGAATGAGTTTAGTAAAACCAAATAAACGAGCTCATGGCTGTCATTAGAATGACAGACACGGTTCATAGATTATCGAGCGAAAATTCCTCGTTATAATTGTTTACTTTGTATGAACAGTTTGTTAGTGTCAAGCGAGTCTCAATAGTTCCAGTCGCTGAGACTCTAAAGAAAGAAAGAAAGAAAAAGCGAACAGTTGGATATCATCCTCAGCTAACATATGTCGATAGTAGAGCTGCATGGCATATAAAATTATAGGTGTTTCTCGATAAGTTCTACAGCACATGTTTCAGTCACCCTAGTTCCATCGCTACCTGAGAGGACGACATGCAGACAGTAAACCGATGGTGGTGTGTTGTTGAGAGCAACGCATAACTAACGCCTTAGAGTTAATTGTTCGTTCCTACAGGTCACCAATTTAAAGCTGCTGAGATGGGAAATTGACCATTACTTTTGTAATCGTTCACTCGAAGCGCTACGCCCAATAACCACATAACTGCAAAAGCTAACAATGGTTATTCGTTATCCGAGATAAGTCACAGGGATCGCAGAAGCGACGGAACTACACTTCTTGCATGGTTTACTTTATGTGATACAAATCTGAAAGCAATTGGAACACAGAGTCAACACCTTTGGTGATCAACGGTGGATGATCACAGATGTTTGCGGTATATTATGGCAAAGAAGACCATCATAATGTTTGATGCAAACCGATGAACAAACTGTGTACTGGGAAAGATGAGGGAATGGCTTGGTCAATGAAAATCTGATGGAATCACGCAGGTGTATTCCACTCACACTGCAGGAGTTGCGGTCAACAGATGAATATTTTTACCCTGTAAGCCAAATCCAATAATAATCAACCCACAACTATTGCCATAATCTGTAACTGTGACTAGTTTCCAAATTTTTATAGCAAGCACTTGCAGTCATACAAATCATAATGTCCGCCGAATCTGAATCAATTCACTGGAGTGGTATGCACATACACCTCTCTCCTGACAATGGTGTATCCGCTTCAAGCCTTGTTTTCAAGGTCTTTCTCGACCATAGCCAACAGACCAGTGAATAAGCGCTAGTGGATGGTCGTTCGGATTGGTGATCATTTGAATTCGCTGCGGTGTCCACCAACACTATAATTGCGTAGAGAGAATGTCGGTTTGATCATATGATGCATTACAGTTACTAGGTTTGTAAGCTCAGATATGGATCCGTTGAGCTTCTTACTCCTAATTCTAAGCGAGATTTTTCAGAGTAAGTGAAAAACGCATGTCACTGCGATAATGAATTCCTCATATTAAGATTACATGTTATATAGTGCGTAGGTACAAAATCCTTGCATATAACAATCTGACACACTGGGTATTAACCAGTGTTCCAAGGACGCTGGTGAAATCTAGCGTTCCATTAACACTGAGTAGTTTAAAATCCGTACTCTGCAAACCCACAGTCACGTAAAATGCGAAATATGAGGGCTGAATATAGTTCATGTAGATAATCCGTCTAAAAATCTTATTCCTGTGAAAAACATGTTGGTTCGACTAATCGGTGTAAACTTTAGAGCTCAATTCATAACCTGCGTGCTACGTGCAGTGTGTACCATTAGGAATAAATATACCCTTTAAATCGTCTCTTTCAGTCGGCGGGCAGGATGAAGGCGGGAACATTGCCTTTCAGAAGCCCGTGTATGGGAGGGCAAAGTGGCCCCACGCCCTGGTAGACGGCAAATACTGGACTGTCATCAGTCCACAACAGGATGAACTACCCTTGTTCTACGTGGACCTCTTGGACTTGTACCTCCTGAGATCTGTTCGGGTGCATTCAGCGACTGGCGGAACGTTTGGTGAGTACAATACTTTAACTATTACACTAATCTGTTTTACTTGAAAATCGTAGCATATCACCTAATGTTATGGGAAAAATCATTTGAAATATATGCAACTTGGTTCAACTATAATCAGTTCACTTGAAATGCTAACTTCCGATCACTTATCTACGTCACTGCTCACCCATGTACATTCACACTGTAAACAAAAAAGACCGTCGTGGACTCGATATAAAAACGTTCGTGCATGACTTGTGTCAGCCGCTAGCTGTTAGCTAACGAGCAGTTCAATGCAAGCAAAATGTACTCAGTTCATTAGGAAGCCCCGCTTGGTTGAGTAGATTTAGCCAAGTTTATTTTACTCTCAAACTTACTACAAATTCCCTTGGCTGTAATGCAAACCTGGACTAATAAAAAGCCTACTAATAGCACAGCTTAATATTTTTTTTTAGAAAGCTGGATTTGGGTTCTAAAACAATTCGTGGCATCATAATCTAGTGATGCTATGTTAGTACACAAGTTTTAGCCAACCGAGGACCAAATTTGGCCACAAGTTTATCGACATAAACGCCAGTTGGCTGCATTTGGTTTAACCAAACTAATGCACAAAAGGTCTCAACCTGCTGGACACTGCTGAATCCTGATATACTAAATTCAACTTCATTTTCTTTCATCCAAACTAAAAGTATTGATAATATCGTTCTTGATCTTTTATTTGTAGGCAATTAAAGTCGAACCTATTGTTGTGCTAAGAGGCTTCCTCTCAATCAACAAGGCGTGTGCTACTACATAAATGACGCTGCTCTGGCTACTGACCTAAGGTAAAGATATGATCAGGTTTTGTGCGCGCATTAAATAGCAATCGCGGGCGCCAGTACAGGCTTCTGGTACCAGACCAAACTACACACCGTGTATATTTCGACTGTCGGATGGTGAAATACGGGAATAATTTGTTTACTAAAATAAGCGAAGTGAATACGGTGTCGAAATTCAAGAAATTCCCAACCCCTCATTGTGAGGATAACGTGTTTTGAGAGCTCATGGTACCTGATTAAAATTTTGTCGCACAGCCGAACTGCGAAGAGACAAATAACGATTTTTCGCTTATCTTCCCGCTAATACACAGCTGTAACAATATAGCCGCATATCCTCTCGCTTCCTAACTTCAGTACTTACTGCTCCGTTTTTTTAAACGCTTTGTAGAATCGCATCCAATAATTATTCTCTTACAGTTATGTTTGTATGCTACGAAGTTGGTTCACTTTAGCACTGTCATAACTTACTAATTCACTTTCCTGTAAAACTATCAAATGTACTGTGTCCTTTCCACTTGTCAAACGGATAATTACAGTTAATTGTTCTTCATGAATGCCTTTCCCTAGCTGCGTCGTTTGCCTCTGCTACTCGAACCACTAGAGGTTCGAACCCTGCGCATCGGCGACCAATGAGTAATGACCGTGATTCAATTTAGTTTGCTTTGCGAAACCAATAGTGATTGAGTACAAAGCAGTACGAATCAGAATATACTCGTAAATACCTATCCGTGTAGACTGACTGGCTCTCTCCTCAAAATACTAGTGAACGTGGCGTGGTAGTACTTAGTTGCGTCGGCAAGTAGAATACGGCTCTTACCAGGATAATATCCGAGACAGTCATATTCTCCGAAGCATTCCTTTAAGGCATACAGCTATTGTCGATCCACCGCTTCTCAATATGTACGTCTTGCTCATTTATGTGGCAACAATGTTTTTCTACCATGCAATGAATGAAAATATATTGCGCCTTGTGGCGTTTTCATAGGACCCTGTGCCACCATCGGAAGGAAACTATTCACAGCTAGAATAGGAAGCCCCATATATAATCGTCAGTGTAAGTATGTTCCATCAGTATATCTGGGAGAATTATTATGTAATTTACACAGCCCAAAAGCCTCCGATATCAAAGTTTGGAGAGGCCAGAGGTACACAACGAATGTTTTGTGCAGCTTCGTTGCAGTTAGATACAGGCAGACAGTCACCACATATACAAGAAAGCGCTAGACGGCCGGTTCGTCCTATTGGGACTCGTCGGTAGCGCGCACCCGCCTAATCCTGCCGGATTCGAACCCACGACCTTACCCTTGTGTCTATCTGCGACGCATCTACACAAAACCTAATAACTCCCCCTACTACTTACAAATATTCAGTGTTCGCCCTAGCAGCTTACATGCCACCTCGATTGGTGCCGGCCTACAAAGGAAGTCGTTGCGCTGGGGGCCTTCCCTGTCCTCTGCACATTCATAACATGCAAGACAGTGGAGCATGAGCAGGGCTATATCGCAGTTTGATATCAGCCATGGCGGTCCGCTGCCATTGTTTATGGCTCAGTGGCATAAGTCGCAGACTCGCAAGAGTAAGGTCGTCGGTTTGAATCCGGCAGGATTCGGCGGGTGCGCACTACTAACTAGTCCCAATAGGACGAACCGGCCGTCTAGCGCTTTCCTGGATGTGTGGTGATTGTCTACCTGTGTCTAGCTGCGACGAATCTACACAAAACCTAATAAATCACCCTACTACTCACATGCCACAAATGTCTTTACAAAGAATGCAGAGGACGCTCTGATGTTGAGCGTTTATAAGTATAATATTACCGGCGTCCCGAGTACAAGCAATCGCACAGCTGACACCTTGAGCCGTCTATCAGTTGCAGGGAGGTCACATGAGCTGGATTCTCCCAAGGAATTTGTTCAGTTGATGTGTCCTCGAGATATAACGCTTCTACGTAGCTCCACCATCCGACAGTGGACACATCGAGACCCAGTTCTTGAACAAATTAAGCGGTTCTTAAGAGAAGGATGGCCTGTCAAAGGTACCATTGATTTGCAACCGTTTATGGTGCGCAGAAATGAACTGAGCTTAATCGGTGGTTTTGTGTTCTGGGATTCCCGCTTGGTCCCTCCTAGCAGGTCGGGTGCACGGATCCTTCGCATGCTCCATGATGCACATCCAAATGACTCGAAAATAAAATTTTAGCGGGGGATAATGCTGATGACCAAAATGAATTCAGATATCAAAACAAGCTGAAGAACTGTGATATCTGTCAAGCACAACTGCGCATTAAACCGTTGACCCCACAAACAGTGATAACTTATCCACGCCGACCACTTCGGCCTGATTAATGGAGCCATGGTTCTATTACTTATCGATGCCAACTCTTAATGGCCCGTTACGCAAGCTACGTCCGAAAGAACCAATGTATAAATGCTTACATCATTTACCACTTTCGATATTACGGAGACCCTGTGCACGGATAACTTGTCTCATTTTGTTAACACGGAGGCTACACGATTCGTCACTAACAACAGAATCCAGCATATGAAAACAGCACCTTATCATCCCGCGCCAAACAGGTTGGCTGAGCGAGCGGTGCACACTGTGTGACAGGCGGGTGAGGAAGCTGATTAGCAACGCGCGCGTGTTCGTCACAAAGCGTTCCTGGGACAGACCCAGCGGGAATGTTGCCAAGGTCTGACAGGAAGCTGATGAAATCGCGCCAGACATCATGTACGTTGTCCTGCCTCGGGGAGGAGGATGAAGACTGGCGTGCCCAAGCAAGACGATGAACTGGCCAGAAGGAGAGAACAGTCAAGTTGGAGCGGCGGCGTACGAGGAAGAAAGGTAGCCAAATCCGCCAGGCAGTGTTTAGAGGATTGATGAGACCGACATATAAATCTGAGCATTTTCGGTTCTAATACAACTCTCCGGTCGGCTGAGTCTTCTTCTGTTTTACTTCCTGTCGGCTTGGCCAAGACGTCAAGCAGAGCAGACGTAAGGGCCCAGATTTACCAGCAGGCGTGAACCGACCGGTCGATAGTGGGTACAGCGTTATAACACAGTGAGGCGAAGAATGTCAAAATAGCTTGTTGGTATCCTACAAACACAGCTGGATTGGTTTCCATTTGCCTATTTTTCCACACCAACTGATGGTCTCTTGCAGAACTGATGTTCGACATGAACCTCAGGAGAAGAATGAATCCGTTTTTCCCTAATACCCGAGTTAGGATAGAAGAAAAACGCAAGCGATCCACATCTTCCGCTGAGCTGAAGAAGGATGTGACTGTGGGGGATGATAACTTGGTCTATACTAAATAGCCAAAAGAAACATTCTGGCAACTTGGCGCCATAATTCCGGAAGCTAAAATGATGTCCAACTTCAAACAGCCGGATTAATCGTTTGCATTCAGACTACCTTAGTCCACGGAGCTCAGATACACCGAACGAAGCGCAGACTGGGTTGTGTGCAGGCAAAGATCCATGCGCTGAGGGTGAACCGTTCGGGCAATCTGGCGGAACACTGCCGAGACGATCGAACCGAATTCCATGCCCAGTTGATCGTTTGTAGCGGAGACTATGACGACGTCTATGAGTGTGAGGAATGGCATATGCCCACTGAACGTCAGGCACTTATCCATTCATTCAGTTCAATGGACGCATGCGCACTCATCAATCGCATTGCGTTGTATGTTGAGATCTCCTGTCAGATGTTGGCTACACAATGCGCTGTTGAGAATTGTTTTCCTTCCTTAGAGTTCTGAGCCCCATTTAGCATACGCTCTCTACCGTTTGCTTACCGCGACTAAAAGTAGCACTAAACAAATGACCAACGGTCTGCGCCACATTTGAGCGTTTAAAGTGCAGTCACACCACAATGGATACACTTCATTGCTAGCTTTTCCAGTTAATTGTGTCTCGTTTCGCTTTCTCTAGTGTGTTGGTCGAATTTAATTGATGTTGGCAGAGAGCTGTTTGCACCCTGTTGTTACATTCTAGGTTTTGCGTTAATGATCATAAGACAAAGGTTCCTAATTGTAATAGTCCGAAACTACTGACCGTAATTTTGTTTGATCTTCATGACGTCACTATAACTAGCCGTTCGGTACGTGTTTCGCTTAATAATTTTACTGATTTCATGATACCCGAGGGATTAACAAGTTTCCCCCTTGTTCCTCTGACGTCTGTCTGTAGATACATGAACCCCAG